AGGGGGCCCCCGGGCAAAGGGAAACGGGCCAAGGGCGGCAACTTCAACAACAAAAATGGCCCGGGTGGGGACTGGTTACTGGAGTTCCTTCTTTGCCCTTTCACGCCGAGGGACGCCTGGGGTCCAATGCCCAACCCCCGGCCCGGGAAAATTTTGGATTCCAAAACTTGGCCCGGGTTCAAAGGGGGCCCTTTTCGGCCCAAACCAAATTTGGGGTCCCAACAAAAATACCCTTTTTCCTCCCCGGGGGGCCCCCCGGCACCCCCTTGGTTGGGGTTCCAGCCCCGGGGAAATGTTTGGGATTTGAAACATAATGAAAAGGCCCCCCCCCGGGGTGGGGGGGTGGTTTCCCGCAAAAAACCCCCCCCCCCCCCCCCCGCCTAGGTGGGCATGTGTTGTCTTCCGCTCAAACGCACGCCGCCTTTCTACTGCTTGCTGTGTGCGGCAACAGGACAACAGAACGCACCTGGTGGGTTTCCAAGTCCGAGACAGTGGCATGCAGTTGTCGAAGCAGCTCCTCTACGAAGGGGATGCTCTCTCCCACCTGCGTGGCCATGAATTTTCCCTTGCACTGCGGAAAAAAAAAACAGACGGCACCGACACACGAAAAAGAGCGGATTAGAAAAGAAGAGCGGGTTAAGAGACGGCCGTAGAGTTAAACGCGCCGTGCTCCCGATGTACAAAGATAAGTTCGCCTGTGGCGTGCCTGTTGTTGGTGCGTTGGTGAGGTGTGGGGAGGGGATAGTGAAGTGGCGTCTCTTTCTCTTCGCCCACGACACACGAAGCAAGGGAACGTGACAAATACCTTTTCGAAACAGTTAACAGATACGGAAAACAAAAAAGGGGCGCTATTGATGTTGTAGGGAGGAGAAAAAACCGAGGTTCACAAGATAACAAAAACCATCAGTCAGGACAAACGCCTTTCGCACAGAGGAAGGGCGCAGACGCACCACACGAGCCCTCGCACCCTTAAAAAACAAACAAACAGTATCACACACGAAACGAAAGTGCCGGTTTCGTACTACTTACAAACCACCCACGACTCCCCCCCCCCCAGTAATGCCCACATCGACGACGACGACAACGACACCTTCTGCGAGATCTTGAGGAAGGTGTCGCACGCCATGTCCTGGACGCCCGGGTGCAGCTCGTGCATGAACTCGAAGAGCTTGTTCACCACCGTCCGCAAGAACTTCCAGTGCGCCCGGAGGAACCGGGGGTACTGCCCGACGACGTACATGATGTTCGAGGCCACAACCGCCTTGTTGTCCTTCCCCCGCTTCATCTCAACCAAGTTGAGAAGGTCCTGTATTTTCGTCACGTTTTTTTTTTTTTTTGAAATGAAAAAAGCAACAGCGGCTTCCGGGAACGATACTGTTCGTGAATCACTTCGTCCTTGTCTTGCATACGCACCCCCCCGTGCGATCACTCGAGGCGGCGTTTGCCGTAACTCCCATCGTTGTGGAAATCGGAACAAATGATTTGTTTCTGGTAGTTTTGCGCACCCCCCCCCTAAGATAGGCATCCGTACGCAAGGAAGTAAGCACAAGATGCCGAACACCCTTAGCAGGATGCAGCTCACCCTTCATGCGACTCGCCAAATACCTCACGGCGCTTCGCGCTTGGTGATGTGAGAGCCTGGTCCGGTGAGAACCCGGCGTGCTCCGTCCCGGCTTTGTAGGGATGCGAGGTCAATGGTCAAACGACTACGGCATGCACGACTATGAGTACCCCCCCCCCCCCCCCCCTAAAAAGGGGAATTTTCCGGGATTGTCTCACCCCCCCCCGTGGGAAAATTGGGAAAAATCCTTTGTGGGTGGATTGAATTGAATGGATTTACTTCCTTCATGGCTGTTTTATCCCACCCCTGTCTGAAAAGTCCGGAATAAAAAAATACCGTAAGGAAGGAAAAAAACGTACGAAAGTAATCTCATTTTTGGAGTTTTTTCCGCTGGGTGGTACAACACCGTGTTTGATTCCTGGGTGACCTTCTAAAATTGTCCCCAAAAACAAAAGCATCCTGTGCTACCAACCACGTGCTTAGGGCTAAGCCAATCACCACCCAATAAGGGGGGTGTGCGTCTGTCTGTCTGTCTGTCTGTCTGTCTGTCGCGTCAGGCTGACCTTAATGACAGTGACGAGAAAGCGCTTCTCCTCCTCCTCGTTCATCGCCCCGGAGATGGAGCCGATGGCCCAACACAACGTGTTCAGGCTGTTCCACGTAAACTGGCTTCCCGACACCTGTCACAAGGAACGGAAAAGAACAAACGGCAAAGAGAGAGAGACAAGAGAAAAATAAAGGCGAAAAACAAAATAAAGAAACAAACGAGAAAACATAGAGACAGTCAAAGCAAGGCAGCCCGTGGGATGGGACGCAAGGCTCCTCGGAATGAGTTTTGAGTGAATGCATGATGGCGGCGACCGCGACGCCGGCGACGTGAAAAAAAAAAACATTATTGATTTGCGAGCCCTGGTGCTCAACCATGGCAAACGTCCTGCGGCACGTAGTATAACCTGCGTGTAATGTGAACAGCCCGACTACGGCATGTACCTGTTAACATTACGCTTTCGGGAACAAGCAACAACACATGAACTGCAAAGACTTTCGAATACACAAACCGACGGCTAGGACGTTTGCGTTCCTCTCCCCAGCACAAACTGTTTTCCGAGTCACCTTCAACACATCCCCAACATCGCTCGCCCACCAACCCGCATGGCCAGATTCCATTCACCACCGTCCCACCGTCCCACCCACCCCCCCGGGTACCGCCAAACAGCCCCAGCACCCTCAAGATGATAAACGCACCTCGACCTGCTTGCTAAGCTTCTCGAGCATGATCTGCTCCGTGTCGTCGTTGTTGAGGTGGGTCAGGTACACGAGCGTCTCCCGCATGCTCTTGTACTGGGCGATCGCTTCCGTGTCCTTAGTCGTCTCCCTCACCACTTCCCCTGCTCAGCGCAAGCGCAAGAGGCACACCCACGGCCCCCGCGCCGCAAAAACAAACAAAACAGCCAAGACAAGGAAGGAACAGCTGTGTAAGGTGACTTTTGAAGATAACACTGCAATACTGCGGCACACACGCGAGGCACACGGCGCGAGAAATGCGTGTGGTGTAACCAAGATTCGTTCCCCCTCGTCCTTGCGAGGACGCGTCGTCAATGGTCTAACCGCTACGGCATACCACACGTAAGAGCCCCCTCCACCCCCCCCCCCCCCGAACACCCTTTAGCAGGATGCAGCGCACCCTTCACGCGATTCGCCGAATACCTCACGGCGCTTCGCGCTTGGTGATGCGAGAGCCTGGTCCGGTGAGAACCCGGCGTGCTCCGTCCCGGCTTTGTAGGGATGCGAGGTCAACGGTCTAACGACTACGACATGCACGACTATGAGTACTCCCATCCCCCCCGAGGTCCACACAAGCCCGAGGGGCCCTCGCGACTGGGATGTGAGGCCAGTGAAAGGTATTTAGCAGCGGCACCTCTGTTCCAACAACGCTTCGTTTCGTGCCAAGCACAAAAGAAACAACAACACAGCACTCACTGCCTCCTTGACCTTGACGAACCACTGCAAAGCAGCAGTACTAATAGCAGTATGCATAGCAACGCCTAACACCGACAGCACACACCGAGAGCAGCACCGGTATATCCGCGCACCTAAGGCGCCCACAACGCAAGCAGCAGCACAGCACGCTCATCGTCGTCTAGCAGTACACCTCAACAAATAGTCACCATCGGAAACAACCGTGTGCACAAACGCCCCACGCCAGCACCACCAGCAGCAACAAGCGACACCACCCCTTTCTCTTCTCCTCTTCCCGCGTCCCATGGGTCACGTACGCGCCCCCGCCTCTTTTTCCGAACCAATCGCGTGGGGGTCACTCCATCACTCACGCACTCACTTCCATCAATCAACTTACTCACTCACACACACTCATTCACTCACGAGATAGACAGGTAAAGGGAGAGAGAGAGAGACAGACAGACAGAGAGAGACAGAGAGAGGGAGACAGAGAGAGAGGGAGGCAGAGAGAGAGAGAGAGAGAGGGGGAGAGAGAGAGAGAGAGAGAGAGACAGAGAGAGACAGAGAGACAGAGAGACAGAGAGACAGAGAGAGAGACAGGCAGAGACAGACAGAGACAGACAGACAGACAGACAGACAGACAGACAGACAGACAGACAGACAGACCGCACCCCATCACCCTGCAGCCCAGGCGACGTCGCCCTCTTGCTCCTCTTGTCTTCTTACCGTTCTCATCCTCCACGATCAGCACCTCCTCCGGCTTGGCCATTCTCGTTATCACCACAAGCCGGATCTTCGTCAGCAGCCTCTCGTACACCCCTCGTCGCAAGTCGGTGCCGGCAAAGGAGGCGACCTGGTCCTGCTTGAAATTGTACCCCCAACGACAGACACCACAGATCGCGGAACCCCACCACCGGAAAGGATATATCGAGAGGACAAACACGGAAAAAAAAACACAAAAAAATAAACACACGGCCTTAAAGAGGGCACACACGCCAGAAACACGAAGGAGGAGGAAGATTGAAGCACACACATGCGCGCACGTTTCTTGGCATTCAGCCCGTTGACGTCGTGCACGCCACTAAAAAATATCACACACAAAACGCCAACAGGTAATAAATACACGTGGTTTGGTTTCTCCCCCCGATGAACTATAGGTGGGAAGACAACACACACACACACGTACCACCGCCACCACGACTTCAACCGGGGCGCATTGCCCCGCGAACCGAACCGACTACTGCTGAGCTGCGGAATACAGTATTGCACTTGATATCACGATACGTATGTCTGGTTGCGCTTGCCTGGTAAAGGTCCGAGCTGAAGTGGTGGTAGAACTCGAGACAAATCTTGAACACCTCGTCGTCGGGAACCTCCGAGATAGACACCTGCGTTGAAAAAACATGGACAGCCGCCACCACATCAACATCATCAGCGTCACACTTCTAACGATACTCCTTACCATCTCACACCAAACCCGGCAAAATTATTAACGTGGATAATCCGCCTCATTTTTCACCCGAGAATCACACACGAAGAACTAGAAGAGAAAAAAAAAAACATGTCCGACATCGCGCTGATCTTACCCATTTACCACATTAATTGCGAATTCAAACAACCAAAAACTCCGATACGCGGGTGATAAATGAAAAAACGTGCAAGGCGACAAGAACCACTGGGGCACAAGAAACAAACACATACAAAACTGAAAAATGAATCGACCAGGGAAACGACAATGAACCGCTCCCATCTCCGTGCGTCGCCATTGACCATGACCAATCTCTGCGACTGCTTTCGCCATCCCAATCCTAGGAACAATTCGCTCATCTAGTGTTGTGCTAGAATGGATCGCTGGTGCGAGAAATTGAGTTGTCGAGGAAATGGAACAGGGAGGGGGTACGCAGAACCTCTCCCTAACTACTTTCCCGACTGCACGCTTTATCCAACATGTTGGATTAACAGACAAAAACTGCGAACGGCTACTGGTTGGAATAGCACCACAAGTATTATAGAACTTGCGCATGGTATGCATGTCTCACCAAATATTCCATCCCCGCCAACAGCACCGGCTGCGTCTCCGGGGTCTCGAGCATCCCCAGGTGCGACTTCATAAACACTGCAGGCATTTGTCATGGGTGGGTGGGTTCATCGCACGCAACGTTAGCCAACAAAGACGAAAACAGCACCAGCACCAGCAACAGCACCAGCACGGTACTCAACAAGCGAACGAGCACGAATATACAAGATCTGCCTATCTGATTTCTGACTCGTCTGAAGTATTGGCGGTTCTGTGTTTAGCTTGCAAGAGACCAACGTGTGTCACAACCGGGAGCACGGCGCAGCGGGTGGATGGAGGGAGGGGGGGGGGGGGCACGTCTACATTCGTTGTACCCGGAGTGTACTCACATTATTACTGCGTGCTTTAGTTTAAGAATTGCACATGCACCACCGCCTATGCATGCGAACAGTCCGCCGGCGCCGCACAGCGTCCCACGGGTTCTGGACGCATTAATCTTCAAGTGGCTTTTATCTATCCACAAAGCTTCCATCACAATATTTCGTCCCAGCAATATCATCATAACTTCATCACGATCAATCTCACGGCGTCTTCCTCGAGAGGCCACTTGTCTGCGATCGATGTACCCTCCTCGCCCTCTGACCCGTCCCCCGCGGCAAGCAACAATATCCAAAGGACCCTCCCCCCCCCCCCCAACCGCCCCTTCCAACCGCCTCCGGTTCCGCGACGCCTACATATCGTCCCCACTCACCGGTAAAAAAGAGCGCCAACTTCTTGATGAAAACCTGCTCCAGCTCCGTCGCGTCCTCGTACATTGCCGCAAGGTTAGCGTCCGGTTTGATCACCACCGACAACTTCAAAGCAACAACAGAACAATCATGGACCACGAGGGGGGGGGGGGGGGGGGGGGGGGTTTTTTTGGATTGCCTTTTCGTCCGACCCTTTTACCCCCCTAGCCCAGGGGGGGGGGGGGGGGGGGGGGGGGGA